GCCTTGAGGTTTCTCGCGGAAACGAGGATCCAGTTACAAAGAGAAACAAATAATTGATTAAAAACTTAGATTAGTCCATGTAATATAAAAAGCAACCTCTGTTAACTGCAGTTGTTGTTGCGACGGCGAAATGCTTATTTGCGAGAGTGGAACGGTAAATAAAAAATTGAAGGATTCGGGTAAAACAGCCAATCGTGAACAGTAGGGCAACTACGTACCCCTGCGATTTCACAATGACTCAAAACTAACTCAGCAGCTGAGACTAGGATATATAAGAAACATCCATTCCTCGATAAACACAGAGATTTTCTACAGTACAAAACCAGTTGGGCTTCATGATCTACTCACCTCGTCGTAATGATGTTCGTCAATCAGGAAAATAAGCAGTAGCAGGTGGAGATAGACCTCAACCTCGGGCAATAACGGAGTGTTTGCTTTTCCTGAACGCGGTCTAAATGGCGATACTGAGCAGTCTGTATCCATAGCCTGAAAGAATACATGCGTGAGATAATCGATGGGGCCGTACCTCAGGCAAGAATTCCATAAAGTATGTCTTCTGGGGTGAAGGATTGGGGAAGTAGCCTTGAACCAGACCTCGCAGGACATTGTGGTTCAGTTTTCGGCGCAACGGAACAATACTGCGTACAACTCGACTGATATAATTAAGTTCTTTTGTTGCAACAGCCTTTTCAATGTAACGTATCTGCTCACGTATATCCTCTAAGGTCAATTGATCAACATCTTTTTGGGCATCACCCTCATTGGGGAACCCATTAGCGAGTTTATCAGAAGCAGTAGCATTCCCTACTTCCAGTTCGGCAGGCTGCTTTATTTCACCCTTCATTTTTTGCCAAATCACAATAAAAACGTTTCAATACAGCGGGCGCGCCCTCGAGAACTCGACCTTGAAACTAGGGTCTTGATGTCCAATGTCCAATGTCAGGTCAGGTCAGGTCAGGTTGCACAGGACTGATAATGGCCACGGCCAATCGAGCGTCCAGATTTCTTCCGGCAGTATGCTCACAAAGTGTGCACCCACCACTGCAAATTGCCTTCACAACACGTCCTTGCTGAAAGGGAAGGAAAAAGCGCTGTAGTGACCATGATTGTACGAAGAAAAGGAGCAATCCACGAGGACGTTTTCCGTTCT